TGCTGTCAGCGGAACTCAAGTCCCAATCTGAGCTGCTGACAAACATCCTTGACGTGGCTCACGAGCTGTCTCTACAGATTTCTTTGTTAAAAGTTGCTCTTCAGGACACAGTAGCCTGGGATCCTACCTCCTCTCCTCCGCAGCCTAGCAGTTCAACGCCCCGTCTTAAGCTGCAATGGTCGGAGGTGGTGTTACTGAGCAAAAATAGGACCTCGTTTGGCGTCGGTCTCTCATCCCACCTCAGCCTTTCCAACAGATTTGAGCCTCTGTCATCGCGGGTCGAAGCGCCGGACTCCGATGAGCTCAAGGATGATGCAGCCCGTCCCACGTCTCCCCGGTCCGGGAGTCATCCTCTGCCGGCAGCTCCCCTCCCGGCTGACAGCTGGCAGGCTCCCTGCGCGGACAGCTCTGTGTCCCCCCTCGCACACACCACGGAAACAGAGCAGCAACAGAGGAAACAGAGTCGCTTAACTCATAAAGGTGAGACTATGAAACTGAGCAATAACAAAGTTAACGGGTCACAAGCCAGTGCCAGGCCGAGAGCCAGAGAGCATTCTGCCAAAAACAAAGCTAAGAGGATAGACACTATTCTGATTGGGGATTTTATAATTATGCAGGTGGAAATGGCCAGGACTGAAAATCTAATTGTGAATAACACATCAGTCAGAGAGGTGGCAGTTTTGCTACCAGACATCATGTCTACACGGCCACATATTAAGAAGATTGTTATTCATGCTGGCTCATTTGACATCCTCACGAATAAATCTGGGTTTGAGACCCTAAAGAAAGACTTTTTGTTTTTATTGGAAACACTTAAAAAACTACAGAGGTGTATTGCATTCACTTGACAAATAAAAAAGTCCTGTTTTTCTGAGTATTTTTTTCTGTTTTTTGGAGTAATTTATTTATTTTTCTGTTTTTTGGTGTAATTTTTTCTGTTTTTCTCATTAATTTTTTTTCTGTTTTTCGTGGTAATATTTTCTGTTTTTCTGAGTAATTTTTTTTCCTGAATGAGGAGACGATATACTTCAAAATCTCGCAAGAAGCTCCCATCTGGCACCTGCAAGTGACCCCTGCATCCATGGTGACTCCTGCTCATGGAGGTATTTTGCATCTGTGCTCCTGCTCCTTGACAATTTCAACTACGGGATCAATAAGGGTAAGGCACGTAATTAGTTACACACAGGGTATGATAAGCTAGCTATGTTTTCGACTGCATCCTTCTAGTGTAGGCCAATTGCTCAGTGTAACAGGTTAGGTTAGTAATAGGTTGTAAAATCATGCCCATACATGTTTGTCAACATAACCTGTTACACTGAGTGATAGGCCTACACTAGAAGGATGCAGTCGAAAACATAGCTAGCTTATCATACCCTGTGTGTAACTAATTACATGCCTTACCCTTATTGACCCCGTAGTTGAAATTGTCTAGGAGCAGGAGCACGGATGCAAAATACCAGGTGGGAGCTTCTCGCGAGATTTTGAAGTATATCGTCTCCTCGTTCAGGAAAAAAAAATTACCACGAAAAACAGAAGAAAAAAAAATACCCCGAAAAACAGAAAAAAAATTACCATGAAAAACAGAAAAATAAATAAATTACTCAGAAAAACAGAAAAAAATTACACCAAAAAAAACAGAAAAATAAATAAATTACTCAGAAAAACAGAAAAAAATACTCAGAAAAACAGAAAATATTACCACTAAAAACAAGGAAAAAATTACTCAGAAAAACAGAAAAAAAAAATTACTCCAAAAAACAGAATAAAATACTCAGAAAAACAGGGCTTTTTTAAAATTTGTCAAGTGAATGCAATACGCTTCCGTAAAAAACTTCACTCAGGAGTGTCTTTCATCTCTGGACCTATCCCAACACTCGGCAGAGGTTGCGAGTCCTTCAGCAGACTCCTTGGCTTAAGCACCTGGCTGTCATCAGCCTGCCTCAAGCAACAGGTTGGATTTATTTACAATTTTAATATTTTTTGGAACATAAAAAGCCGCTTCATGCCAGACGGGATTCACCCAAACAACCTTGGCTCCAGACATCTTGGCTGCAACATATGTCACACCATCGAGTCATCTTATCAGAACACATATGCACTGATAAGCAGGAAGGTCAGCACACAGGGAGCAGACAGACAGACAGTTACTGCTTCCAAAACAACAACCGCCTCCCATGATGATGACGTCACGGTCTGTGACTCTGTCCTCCACATTACAAGAAACCTGCAGAGATTGTCTCTGTCCCAGCAAGAATGTCAAGAAAAGAAGAGATAGGACGGTCACCATGCCGCTTTCCCCCTTATGCCGGCAATTTCACTCAGCCGACGGCATGGCAAAAATAAAAACAACTGCAGGACATCAAGGACGGTCAACTCATCAAATCTGATATGTATCTCATGTCAATCACAGTCTGTCTCTAAACTTACGCCAGATAACGTTTCACAACTAGCACTTCTAAATATCAGGTCTCTGGCTGGCAAATCCTTCTTAATCAATGATTTTATTAACAAGCAAAAACTTGATTTTATGTTTTTAACTGAAACTTGGCTAGGTCAGGAAAATAGTGCAGCAGTTTTGATTGAGACAGCCCCTCCAAATTTTAGTTTCTTTAGTGAAGCAAGAATACATAAGAGAGGAGGCGGAGTTGCCACTCTGTTCAAGGACAGCTTCCAGTGTAAGCAAATGTTTTATGGTCAGTTTGACTCCTTTGAATATGTTGCCACTCAGTTAAAATCCCCCTGCCAAGCAATTTTAGTGACCATCTACAGACCCCCCAAATATGATGCAAGGTTTTTTGATTAGTTTGCCAAATTGCTGTCCATTGTGTGCATGGATTTTGACTGTGTTGTTTTACTTCCTGTACTATTGTTTACTGAAGCGTACTCTTAGATTAAATAATTACCTGCTGTATTCTACTGCCCGTACTTTTTAACTACACACTGCTGATTTATGCCTTTTATTATTCTACTTCTTTTCTTATCCTGACTGTTCTATTTGGGTTTATTGTTAAATCGGCTGCAAATGTCAGAGATTTCAGGGCTGAGGACTGAGTCCGGGCTGAAATCTCCAACAGGAGAGGTTTCAGAGTCTAAGGAATTAAAAGGTTGGGCTGTCGTCATCCCTGCGGGGGGTGACCGGGAAGTCTGAGTCAGCTGCTGTGACTCGACACTGGGGAGCATGCTGTGAATTCAGATCTAGAAGGGAGACGTCCTGTGATGGATCTTTAGAGTTCATTACAACCTGAATAAGACCAGTGTGTGGAACCTGTGTCCGGCGGGATGGTAAGACTCTGAGTGAGGGACTCAAGAGCAAATAGTGGGCACGCATTGGGTGTATTATTAAGGGAGACGTCCTATACACTCATTAAAAAACAGACCTGACCAACAAAATTCAAGATGCTTCAGAGTCAGGGACAAGAGATCCTAGCTGAAATCTCTGACAGAGCCGGTTTTTGATAATAAACTTAAATGTTGTCTAAGAGCACTTTTTGGTGGCAAGGAGTCGCAGGAGTGATATAGGCCATCACGGCCTGGACCCTTGGCTGTATAGCTTAGGCAGCTATACAAATGTTCTATGCAGTGCTCTTAGATGCAATGTATTAGGCCTGTTTCTATTTTATGTTACTGTATTTTATTACCACTATCATTCTCAATTTCTATTTCCCTTTTAAATGACTGATTTCATTGTTTTAAATTGTGTCTTGTTGCTTTTAATGTCTCTGTAAAGCACTTTGAATTACCTTGTGTTGAATTGTACTATACAAATAAACTTGCCTTGCCTTTTTTATTGGTAAGGATATGTGCATGTCAAAGTATGCCTGGGCAAGATGCTGAACCCCAGATTGCTCCCAATATTATATGCACCCTGTATGCACCTGACGATGCTTACTGATTGATTGATTGATTGATTGATTGATTGTTTTAATGACCACACAGCCAGGCTGGTGGAATTTGTTTCCAGTACAGCTCATTGATACAGGTTCCAACATAAAGGACATTAAACATATAACACAGACATACAGACAAACACATTATCACATGAATAATTAGGCTATAACAAAAAGAATGTTTTAAATGTTAACATTTTTTTTTATTGTAGGCTTAATGTATTTTGTACAAAAATGAGGAAAATACGTACATAAGAACATGAAATGACGGTAAAACACATTGATTTCCGAACGCATTGACAGCTGACTGGACAGATAAGGCACCAGGCTAAACTAAGCCTGGTTGTTAGCCTGGTTGGGACCAGGCTTAGTGCACAGAATAAATCTCCATGGCAACATATGTGCCTTTGCTTTCGAACAACCGAATCAGTGCTGAGTTAAGCCTGGATAACCAACATATCCCGGCTTAATCCCTTATCTAGGTTTGGAACAACAGGGCTCAGGTGCCACTCCTGTCAGCTAACAACAGGAAACTGAGGCTACAATTCACACGGGTTTTCTCACCAAAACTGGACAATAGAAGATTGGAAAAACCACATTCAGATGGAAGCATGGATCCATCCTGCCTTGTATCAACGCTTCAGGCTGCTGCTGCTGCTGGTGTAATGGTGTGGGGGAGATTTTCTTAGTACCAACTCAGCATGGTTTAAACACCACAGCCTACCTGAGTACTGTTAATGAGCGTGTCCATCCCTTTATGACCACAGTGTACCCATCTTCTGATGGCTACTTCCAGCAGGATAACGCACCATGTCACAAAGCTCACATCATCTCAAACATGACAATGAGTTCACTGTACTCCAATGGCCTCCACAGTCACCAGATCTCAGTCCAACAGAGCACCTTTCTATCTTTCTAATACCTTTTTAATCTGTGACACCAAGAATTAAAAAGGAGGTCCAACCCGGTACTAGCATGGTGTACCTAATAAAGTGGCTGGTGAGTGTAATCCTGAGACATGTACTGTATTATGATGCAGTAAAACATGCTACAGATATGACTGCGTCTTTGTGTCAAAATTAGGTGTTATAACAGATAAATTCAAAATACATATATGTACATCAGATTTACTGCTCTATTTACAGGAAGTAAACACGTTACCTGTTTCCCTTATGAGTTAAGAAATCCCACTAAATTGTGGAAGAGCACGTTTGTCCTATCACATATCGAAAGAAAAAAAAAACATGATGGCCAGAAGTAGAAATAATTAACGACACCAGAGAAGCTAACGTGGCTTTTAAACGTCGACAGACTGAATATTTATTGAACAAAGCTGCAGTTATATTATCAATAATGAACTTGTAATGTTTAATGAACAAACCTGCTCTGTGTAACCGAAGCTGAGGGTTGAAAACAGCGTCCAGTAGTTTCCGCTGTCGCTCGTTCTCCTCTTTTGATCGACAAAGTTCCTCCTCGTACTCTGCTATCGTTCTTTCAAACAGCCCAAATATCTCTTCAGCAGCCGCAGTTAGTCGCTGCTTCACCAACGATTTCAGCATTTGGACTTTAGACATGTTCACACTTTAAAAACACAACAAAGACACTCTGCTAACACACCTGTTTGCACCTGACGCTAAACGGGGTGAAGCTAGCAGCAGTAAAGAATACAGTTCCTCCTCGTACTCTGCTATCGTTATGAATAAATCATCCATGTTTAGCAGCACAGCTGTAAGAGTTTAACTTAATGAGTTAAACGATAGTGTAACCAGGAGAGATCCAAACTGTGACTCGCAGTCACATTTTGTGACCATGGAGCTCCAATGCGACTGGCAAATACTATAAATACATGAACTGGAGAGGCCTAAGTTTGTTACCAGCTTATAGTGAAAAAAATACTGACATTTAAAAGGCATTGCAGTAACAGTTTAACCTTCTGCTAACTGCTAATAACTGACAGGAAGCTACAAGTTCACGGCAAAAACATGACTGAGATTATCTGGTCTCTTTCCAATCATCGTCACTATCATCAGTCTCAGGTTCAGAAGACTCTCCAGTCTTGTCATCAGTCTCAGGTTGTAAATGTGTATCTGGATCTGAGTTCCTGGCTGGTTCTGGTCCTCCACAGTTCTCTCCATCAGCCTCTGTTTCCATCTGTTCAGCTGAGCTGCTGACTGGAGGCTCTGCCTGTCTGTTCTCCTCAGTTTGACTCAGATCAGGCTGTGAGGACTGACACCCAACACACTGATGGTTTCTGAGTTGATGAGGCCAAGTGAATCTCTGGTCACAAACATGGCAGCTGAGAGGTTTCTCTCCTGTGTGGACTGTCACGTGACTAAGTTTTCTTTGCGCAGGAATATCTTTCCAAACCCCTGTATGAGATCTCATGTGTACCTTCAGAGTAGTTGAGCGAGAATATCTTTTCCCACACTCAGAGCAGGTGAATGGTTTTTCTCCTGTATGAGTTCTCATGTGTGACTTCAGATGACCTGAATGAGAAAATCTTTTCCCACACTCAGAGCAACTAAATGGTCTTTCTCCTGTATGAGTTCTCATGTGTGTCTTCAGACCACCTATCACAGAAAATCCTTTCCCGCAATCAGAGCAACTAAATGGCTTTTCTCCTGTATGAGTTCTCATGTGTCTCCTCACATCTCCATTTCGAGGAAATCTTTTCCCACACTCAGAGCAGCCAAATGGTTTTTCTCCTGTATGAGTTCTCGTGTGTGTCTTCAGAGCACGTGCCAGAGAAAATCCTTTCCCACACTCAGAGCAACTAAATGGTCTTTCTCCTGTATGAGTTCTCATGTGTCCCTTCAGAGCATCTGACTTAAAAAATCCTTTCCCGCACTCAGAGCAGGTAAATGGTCTTTCTCCTGTATGAAATCTCATGTGTGTCCTCACATCTCCACTTCTACAAAATCTTTTCCCACACACAGAGCAGCTAAATGGTTTCTCATCAGCACTATATTCCAAGTCACTCACAGGGTCTTCATCATTTCTAAGAGAGTTTAAAGCTGACTGAGGTTCTCTGGTCTCTGTCCAATCATCATCACTGTCATCAGTCTCAGGTTCAGAAGACTCTCCAGTCTTGTCATCAGTCTCAGGCTGTAAATGTGTATCTGGATCTGAGTTCCTGGCTGGTTCTGGTCTTCCACAGTCCTCTCCATGAGCTCCAATTTCCATCTGTTCAGTGTGTCGTTGATGAAGCTGTGAGGACTGAGGTTTCTCTACATCATCTTCACTCTTCACAGGGACAGTAGAGAATGTGAACTCCTGTTCCTCTTTAATGTGTGGAGGCTCTGGGTCCTCCTGTTCCTCTTTAATGTGTGGAGGCTCTGGGTCCTCCTGTTCCTCTTTAATGTGTGGAGGCTCTGGGTCCTCCTGCTCCTCTTTAATGTGTGGAGGCTCTGGGTCCTCCTGCTCCTCTTTAATGTGTGGAGGCTCTGGGTCCTCCTGGTCCACACTGGAGCTCCACTCCTGCTGCTCAGGGGGAACCTCTTCTTTAACCACCAACATCTGCTGGACGTCTGCAGGAAACAGGAAACACACAGATGTTACAGAGAAATGTTGTCGTTCATTCACATCACAGCTCAAAAACTCCTTACTGAACTTCTACAGATCTCTGAGCATCAAACAGCTTCACAGTGTTCACTCTGCTGTGTCAGAGTGAGTGAGGTTGAGCTAAGCTTTCATTTTCGCAGCAATCATTAACATCCATTGAGACTCTTGTCATGTTTGGAGGCTCCAGTGCAGCTCTTCATTTGTTCAGGCTTATGTGAATTATGTGAGAATGACTGTCCATGGGATGCCAGAGTTTGCAGTGAGTCAAGTTTAACAGCTTGCCCATCAAGATCTGTTTCCTCTAACACTGTCCCGGCCCAAACAGCAAACAAAGCATGCATTAACAGGAAGCTACCCCCCCAGGTGCTGTGCTCAAACCACTGAAGTACTGCAAAAAGTGTTATGGCGGAATTAATACTTCTGCATTGAACCACTGTCCATGTTTGTGAGCTGAAACCATTTCCCTCAGTGGAAACAAAGCTTTTATTTACTTTAATTTCACAGATAAGAAACAAACTGTGAAGAAGAGGAAATCTCTGCTATTCACTAGGCTAATTTATACAATGTAACATGCCATAGGCTTGTGCTAAAAACATTAGCATGTTGGATTTGTTTGGAAAACATGTTTAGTATAAGACAGTTGTTTTGTCAGTGAACCCTGTGAGTTGTAATGGAGCCGAGTTTTTGTAATGTTACCTTTGTTAAATGTTGCTGTTGTCCCTGGCTTCATATGAGCAGAGGAAATTTCTGCTGTTCCCTCGGCTAATTTATACAATGTAAAATGCCATAGGCTCGTGCTAAAAACATTAGCACGTTGTATTTGTGGGGAAAATGTGTCCAGATGAAGACAAGTGTTTGTCTATGAATGCTGCAAGTTATAGTGAAGCTGATTTGTGTACTTGTGTTTGAAACTGTTCCTACTAAACCATGTTTAATGTGTGTTTTAGGTGTTTTGAATCAACTAAACTTCATAGCATGTCACAGAGCCCCAACGGAAAATAGCTAACACCAGAGAAACTAACGACATCGGAACAGCTAACGGCACCAGAGAAGCTAACGACACCAGAGAAGTAGGGATGTCCTGATCCGATCCTTGGATTGATATCGGCGCCGATCACGTTATTTTTACAAAATTGGTAATAAAAGATCGGAGATATCAAAACAACAACAATAGCCAGGTTTTTCATCTATGTTGTTCATTGTTGCCTCCGCTTTCCAATGTATAAAGTGTGGTGATCCTGTATATTTTATTATTTTTTTATAAGACAGTCAGCTGATGGCTTGCTCACCTCCAGACACTGAGGTACCTCCAGACGCACCGGTGCTGTCGGCCAGTGGGATAGCTTGATCAGCTGAGCCCAGGTAGACCAGCCCCTACATTATGCGGCTCCTGGCAGTATAGTGAGAATCGCCGGTGAGTGAGAAATGAGCCACAAGTTCTCTGCTCACTCGGCCTACCACGGCATTTTACACCGCTCAAAGTCTGCAAAATAGGTTTGCAGGAAAACCTGGGGTGGAGTTCTCTTTTGTTTAGTGAACTTCGTCGATTGAACTGAATTGAACTGTGATATGTTATTTGGAAATCCCGGAGTGGAGTTTTTTGTTTGAACTGGAATGAACTGACTAATCAGAATGGAGCATTTCTTTTCTTTGGTGGAAAAAGACATACTTTCTTGAAACTGATGACTGTTGTATTTGTCTTTTTGTATAGTATAGTATAATTCTTTTGTTCTATAGAAACCAGATAAAAACAATTGAATTTTGGTCTTGAGGGACCTGTTTTATGGGTTTTATGGTTTTGTGGGGTTTGACTGAGTAAAAGAAAAATATTTGTTTCATGTGTCAAACCGCTACAAAATATATAGACCTATTTTGTTTGTTGAAGACAAGAAGAAGATATTGACTTGGTTTACATTTTGTGCTGCTGAACCACCGATAAGCTTTTTGGATACTATTTAAATAAAAAACAAACCTTATGGGACAACTTGGATGCATTAATGCTTTGCAAGTATCGGATCAGACTCGGTATCGAACTCGGTTTCAAAATAAAGGAATCGTATTGGATCTGACGCAAAAAAAACGTGATCAGGACATCCCTAAAGAGAAGCTAACAACAACAGAGAAGCTAACGACACCAGAGAAGCCAATGGCACCGGAGAAAGTAACGGCACCAAAGAAGTTAATGACACCAGAGAAGCTACTGACACAGGGCGTAAAATTAACAACCGCCTAGCGCCAATGGCGGGTAAAAAATGAGATACGCGTGTAAAACAAAAACACATACCCACTGGTGCCGATGGAAAATTTTGAATTGCAGTGGGTTTTTTATGTGCTTCAACCATTTCTCCCAGCTGTGTCAGACTATTTTGACCCTTGCGACTTATTGTATGTGTGCCGGGAACCCATGACGTCAGCTACTGGAACTTCTGGCATTCTATGGTGACTTCTGAGCAAGATGTGGCGACACATTCCTGGCATGAAGCCACCGCCAGAAAAAAGGAAAAACTAAGATGAACATGTTGGACTTGTACAAGAAGAACAGACAGTTAAACGGAGTACAAATGTTGCACAGTGTTTTATTGAAAAATGGAAACTATATGAGGCTGGCCAGCCGCGGTCGTGACTGACCTCCGACCCCACACCAACATGATGACCTGCAGCCTTTGTCGCAAAGTACGCCAAAGAAACACAGAGGCCAAATCCCTTTGTTTGAGGGACATGGAACATGAAATTATTAAGGCTGCAGTCTCCTGGTTAACTAGTCGATTATAATCTTGGTCTACTTTAGTCGACCAAGATTTTCTTTGGTTGACTACAGCCCTACAAATTATAAAGTATTAAAGACCACGAGAGGTCTAGATGCCACAGTGATTGCCTGAAAGCCTCTCAACCTATGAACTCAACCCCTCTGGTAAAGTCAGTGACGGTGACCCAACCCAACTAAAAGAAAAATGATGACCATGTTCAGGACCGTTCACACCTTGGGAAAGAAGGGAGGGCCGATGGCGGACTTCAAGTGGCTCTGCAAGTAAGTGTTTTAACTCTTCAGTCACTATAAAATTGGCGGGAACTGTTGAGTTTGAGTTGACGTTAACATCAATAACGCTTTTCGTCGGCTGCTATCATGTAAACTAGTTTTAACTACTGTTCATGTTACCCCTATGAACGCTAAGTTAACTTACTACCACTAAATTGGTAACCTTACGTTAGTCCTCTAACATTGCCTGAACGACAGATATCGCAGGTGTGTGTGTTTTTAAATCATAGCCAGTAAGCTAACGTCACAGTAGCACACAGTGGTACTCCTGTGCTACTGTGTGCTACTGTATGTAACGTTACTAATGTTTGCTTCCTGGTTTGATAAAACCCCACCATCTGCGATATTAGTTATTCAGGTGACATTAGAGGAGACTGGCTAAATTGTGTTTTTCCCTTTGTCATTCTAATGTCAATAATGTTCTCCCTTTGGGGATCAAAAAAGTGATTCTTTTTCTTATTCTCTTGTCTTTTTAGGCTGGATGAGATGAAAGGTCTGCTAATAGGGAAGACAAGAAACACACTTGAAGAATGGAGCTGTTGGAAGGGAAGAGATGTATACAAAAACATGAAAAGAGAGGAGTCAAGAAGATTATGCTTGATCAAAAATGCAATGAAACTGAGCCTAAAGCTCAATACTGCAGTCAGATTCTCTTTACCATTTTCCAATCCAAAGGACCTTTTCTTTATGTTGGAAAAATGTACACATAATTTTGCATAAACTTTTAAGTGGTGTTAAAAATACAATAAATATTGACTTAAAATTCTGCTTTGGTTGAATTTTGCATTTGAAAATGTATTTCAAGATTTACCTCATTATGTTTGACAGTAAAACCTTCATCCAGTCTGTATACCTCTGATTAAAGCTTCATACTGGCTCACTCAAAGTAATAATCGCTTATAAAAATGGTGAAAACAATATCGTTGGCCGTTCGATATTGTTACCAAAGTTATTATAACGCATATAAAAATGTTGAAGACACTGGAGATAAAACAAAACTGAATAAGCAAAATGTAAAAGTTTAAAAAAACTTTGATCATGAGCACGAAAGAGTTACGCAGGAACCGAGTATAAGAACGTAACTGATTAAAACGTAAGATACGGCAAAAGCAAGTCGACAAAATAAAAAACAAAAGAGTGTACTAAAAACATAAAAGACAACAAGTTGATTAATAAACCCCAAACTATATCTTAATTTTAAATATAATATGGAATTCCTTACGGGAACTCTTCTTCACTCCGCCACAAGATGGCAGTATGGCTCCATGTTAAATGAAGGATTAAACAAAATTGAATTTGCAACTCATTAATCTTTTGTTTAACGGGATTAAAATTAAATATCATTCAGATAACGAACATGGATTATGCAAATGTACAAGTTTAGGATATGGAAAAGAAAACAAAAAGGGAAACAAATGTATAATTTCACTTCCAGAGACATACCAAGTCCATCTCCATCTTTTCAGTCTCTTCTTCACCCCATTGTCAATGAGATGGTGTGATTCCCCGGGGTGGTGCGAGGGGACATCTTAGAAAGCATTGTCTTAACATCCTTTTGGCACCCGGATGTCTGGAGGGAGCATCCCTCATGACCAGAGTAAGCCCGGGGGCAGGGTTATAAACATTTGATCCTCCTTGTGGCCTTCTCATTGTCTATTTATTTGTAGTCCAGAATGTGGAGAGTTTAGAAAGGCTGTATTGTTCCTACAATAGCAAAATTTATAAGGATATGCGGCCCATTGGTGTTATTTCGTGAGAGGGGTTTCAGGACCTCATGATGGAGCTGGAGCCACGATATAAAATTCCCAGTCGCACAACAATCTCAGCACACATAGTCCAGCTGTATGACACTACACAGGAAAACATAAAGGCTATTTTAAAGGACAAAACACTCGGTCTTAGAACAGACGGGTGGACATCCCTGACATTTATCCTCACGATATGAGGCGGTCTTTGTGGGAAAAAAAGTTTGTTTAGTGGACTAACTTGGCACTTGAAGGTTGCCCTTTCACTTACGTTTTAACAGGTCTGACGCTACTATGCGCCCCGGCTGTATCTAGGCTAACGGCTAACATGCTAACTATTATTTTTATGTCACTAGTTACTTGAAACAAATTTAGGACGATAAGAGACAGGTTGAAATAAACTGAAATTTCCCTTTAAGACTTTCCTCTTTGATAAAGTTTATAGCTAGTTAGGCTGAATGCGGCCTAGTCTGCCAGGGGACCCCCTATAATACACCGGGCACTTTCTCTCTCTCACACTTTCTTTCTTTCTCTCTCTCTCTCTCTCTCTCTCTCTCTCTCTCTCTCTCTCTCTCTCTCTCTCATTGTGTCATACGGATTACTGTTAATTTATTATGTTGATCTGTTCTGTACGACATCTATTGGACGTCTGTCCGTCCTGGAAGAGGGATCCCTCCTCAGTCGCTCTTCCTGAGGTTTCTGCCATTTTTTCCCCCGTTACAGGTTTTTTTGGGGAGTTTTTCCTTATCTGCTGTGAGGGTCCTAAGGACAGAGGGATGTCGTATGCTGTAAAGCCCTGTGAGGCAAATTGTGATTTGTGATATTGGGCTTTAGAAATAAAATTGATTGATTGATTTACTGTTACCTAATGTGTAGTGTTTTTAAGACCATACGAAGGCCACCCACCATCTCATGTGAGCCAGCTATTTGAATTGTCACCTACTTAAAATGTGGTCTTACCTATCTCTTATTGAGTCGAACTCATGCTAATGGTAGCTAACGCGGCTCCATTGACTTGCATGTTAAGTAGCTAGCAGGCTAGCAAGGTAGCTGACTTTGTTGATGTATTTTGCAGTCTATGGCTTAACGTAAAAGGGAATTAATCTGAAGTACGTCATACATGAACTCTTTAAACACCAGCCTGTTCAGAGTTTAACGTTATGTTATTGCCAACACAGCGGACTTTTAAAAAAAATTTTTTTACACGTGTGCAAAGCAGACTGCTGCAGTATTGGAAAAATACACAGTACTAGTATGAATTATGCGGTTCATTCAGAAGAAGAGTTGTTGTCCATGTGCTTATTATGTCATCATATGATATGATGATGGCGCCTGGGATACCACGCCGCTCTGTGAGCTCCCGAACAAAGCCAGAGATTTTCCAAACAAATGACGGTAAAGTGATCGTCGAAGATGAACTTCTCAACTTTATTGTCATCAAGATGAGAACAATGAGTCACGATGAAATTGTCTTGCTTGTTACAAACAATTTCAGTTCCAAACGCATTGAGTCCTCAAAGAAGGCCTTGTTCGAGGTCTGATCAAACACATCACAACGCTGTGTTCTCCACAAGGGCGCACAGAAGGAGATTAACAATGTGAAAATGTGTTTGAGAGTCCTAAATGAATGTGGAGAAGATATACCTCGTTTTGTCTCACATTACTTGGATGATCTACCCTCCGTCACTTTTAATCATATTGACGTCTCTGTGCTTCTAAGTAGAATGGAGCAATTACATAATGACATCCACGGTCTAAAAAAGACTCTTGATATTCAATCAAATGTGTGTGAGAGTTTACGTGAAGTGAGTGCTTCCCTGGATACTCGGGTGTCTGTCATTGAGACGCAGCGCACACCTACTGCCCCCCCTCCGTGGTGACTGACGGACAACCATCAAGCGCTGCTGAGGTGGCCTCGGATGATGCCTCGGGACCAACGGTGCGGTCCAACCTGTGTGCCACTAGATCAATGCCGAGGTCTCCGGCGTGGAGTGCTGTGGTGCGGGAGGGACGCCCCAGGCTGGATAGTGCTGCACCGCTCAGGCTGAAGCATCGTCCCGCACAAGCCCCAGCGAAACGGGAGCGAAAAACAGCTGGGGTAATCGGGACTGGCTCCGCTTCTAACATATTTGCTGTCAAGACTAAGATGGTGAGTGTGTTTGCCACAAAGTTTGATCCCAGCTTGGATGCCGAAACTCTCGGCGGATATCTGAAGGAGAAGCTGGGACGTGATGTGAAGTGCCGCAGAATAGAGACGATACACGGTAGATTCAGCTCTTTTCACATAACTGCTGAATGTAATGAAGTGCGGGAGATGCATGACCTCCAGCTCTGGCCAGAAGGCTCTTTTGTTCGGCGATACTATGAACCCCACCGACTAAGATCTGTGACAACAGGTGTGCTGCCTGCTTCCAGCTCACTGATAGTGTCTGAGCCTCCGACTGGTGCCTCTGGGTGCAACAGCCACTGAAATACATCTCACACTAAATGCGTGTTGTATCATACAATACGCGTGGCCTGCGTGTAGGTCACAGTGCTGCGGACAAATCAAGACGTCATGTGGTGGACACTCCTGGAGGAGTGTGACATATTATGCCTGCAGGAGACCTGGTTATCCAAACAAGATCTGGATAAACTGAATGGACTACACAGGAACTTTTATGGCACTGGTGAGTCTACTACAGATCTAAATTCCAGAATAATTCGTGGCAGGATACCCGGAGGTGTGGCTGTACTGTGGAACATTAAATATGACTCTAGAGTGAAAGTCTTGAGACTGGATGTTGACTGGGTCATTGGGCTAGAGATAAATATACATGAGAGGAGGTTTACTATCCTGAACATCTATACACCCTTTAAATCTTATCAGTCTGAAGATGAGTTTTTAAATAGACTGACTTTTATCAGTTCTTTTCTGGAGGAAAACAGATCATCTTGTGTTTATGTTGTGGGGGATTTTAATGCCCATGTGTCTGATTCTAATGCAATTTTGTCGTGAAAATAACCTTACTCTCTCCAGTAAGGCCTTCTTACCTGATATGAGTTTTACATATATTAGTGAGGCATGGTATACAACCTCCTGGTTGGATCATTGCATCTGCACAGCAGATGCTCATGCCTCATTAAATGATATAGAGATATGTTATGGATTAGCTACTTCTGATCACATTCTGATTGCGATTTCTGTAAATGTTGATAATATTCCCTCAATCACTGTTGATAATATTTTACCTAATATAGGCAAGCTGGACTGGTCCAAATTATCCCCTGAGGAAATAGATAAGTACTATTGTGTTAGTGATTCCTTCTTAAGAGAGATGCACAGAGATGTGTGACTTATATGAGAGCATTGTAAAGGCCCTGAAGAAATCTAGTATCCCTCTCCAGAAACAGAGATATAGAGAACATAATACTATACCTGGGTGGAAAGAATTTGTGGCTGAACAACATGCTGAAGCCAGACAGGCTTTCTTAAACTGGGTAGCAGCTGGAAAGCCTAGACAGGGCGAAGTGTTTGAAAACAAAAAGCTTGCCAATGCTAGGTTTAAATACGCTTTACGTTATGTTAAGCATAATGAAAATACAATGCGGGCTGACTCTCTGGCTAAGAAGCTGCAAAGCTGCAATAATAATGAATTCTGGAGAGAGATTAAAGCAATGGATAACTGCTTTTTTCATACTTTTTTATTTTTATCTATGGACCAATTGTGTCTGAAATAAAGTTTATATATATATAATCCCTGTGATGTTTCTTGCACTCTATGTAAAGAAAAGAATGTGCTATACAAATAAATTTGCTTTGCACTGCATTTCCTTGCCTTTGTCTGACCACAAACATATGTTGGATGTTTTGGTACAAACAGGTTATAATGTTAGGTGAAACTAGACGTTGAGAAATAGGTCTGTATTTGTTACTCTTATTTACAGCAGTTTCAGGAAGTATGGCCAAACAATATTTTTCTATGCTTGAAATTACTTACAACTAAAACACTAATTTAGATGAAGTGTAATGAACATCTTGAGTATCAATATCTAGGAGAAGTGGAGCTGAGGCTTTGTCAAATCCACCTCTGAGGTGGGATCCAAATAATCCTGAAAT